GATTCCATCTCACTCCAGAAAGAATGGCTATCATCAAGAAATCAACCCATATCAAATGCTGATGAGGGCTGGGGATTTAGCTCAGTGGCACTGCGCCTGCCTTGCAAACATAAGGTCCTGAGTTCGATCCCTGGTCCCCCCCCCCAAAAAATGCTGATGAAGCTGAGTGGAAAAAGGTACTCTTTTCCACTGTTGGTGGAATTGTAAATTAGTGCAACCACTATGAAAACCAGTATAGAGATTCCTCAAAAAACTAAAACTAGAGGTTCCATTTGACCCAGCTGTTCCCCTTCTTGGTATCTTCCCAAAAGAGTTAAAATCATACCATAACAATATATGCACACACATGTTTATAGCAGCACAATTTATAATAGCTAAATCCTGGAGACAGCCCAGATGCCCATTAATGGATGAATGAATAAAGAAAATGTGGCTTTTATGTGTGATGGAGTACTACTTTGCAGTAAAGAAGGATAAGCTTGAGACATTTGTAGGTAAAAATATCCACCCTGAGACCATAGTTTTAAGTGAAATAAATCAGACACGTGTTAAAACATCACATTATTTCTCTTGTGTGAGAAACCCAAGGTGTAAATAAGGACCAAAATGGAGGCTAGATATTGGGAAGTAGAAAGAAAATGTTCAAATGGGATGGGGGACCAAGTGAGAGGCAGAGGGATGGGAAGGAATGGAATAGGGATAAAAAAAAATTTTTTAAATGCAAGAAAACAGTAGAAACAAAGTTTTGTAAGTGGAGAGGGGAAGAATTGAAGGAAAGAGATGGGATGGGAAAAAAGAATTAAAATATATTATGTACAGGTACAAATTCCCTATGATGAATGTGATCAGAAGAGAAAAACTAAGAAAATAAAGGAAATACAAATTATATTTCAAAAAACCTACGACATTTCCCAAAGATAAATGATAGAAATTTCCAACCTAAATTTCCAATGGATGTTAACAATAAACAAAAGCAATAGAAAGCAAATCCTTTTTTTATCATTGACTTTCTGAACATCAGAAATAAAGATAAGTTACTAAACTACTCCAGTGCAGAAAAAAGTAGGTCACACATCACAGAGAAAGAAAATAGATTGGAATAAGACTTTAAAAGAAATTGGAACAAAGTCCTAAAAATTCTGAGGGAAAATTACAGTATTTGCAATCTAAAACTCAATACACTATAAGATTATCAATCACATTTATGAGTAGAATGAAGTCCTTTACAGACATGTGAGTTTCTACAAGTTTCTATCCATACACTCATCTCTAGGAAGCCACCACTGGATGTGCTTACGAAGATGAGGTCTGCATCCAAAACAGAGGGAGGTATGATGTGCAGGATTGTATTCCTGTCATTTGGTGAAAACTTCAATGTAAAAGGTAAATCAGAAACTAATAAAGCATATAAACCTAAATGAGAAAGCACTTGTTGAAAACCTACCCTTCCCAGAATGCCCATCCCTGATGATTTAGGACCAAGTTGCCTCATGGGAACTTGTACGAAACTGAGGAGGCAGCACAGAAGCAGGTGATTTTCCTGAGGTCAGACATACAGGCAGATAGGCACAGAGATGTCATTAGCCTTCTAGCTTCCCCCTCACCACTCCCCTGCCCTCCCTTCAAAGCCTCCAGTCCTCCCTATTTACAAAGACTTTGTTTGCATTTTTTTCCTCATATTTATTCCTTTCTCTTCTTTCCTGTCCCCTACCCCTCCTACTTCCCCTTCCCCTTTGGACCTTTTCTTCTTATTTCACATTATCTATTATACATTCTGATCCTTATTTACACTTTCAGTTTCTCACACTAGAGAAACTATTCAGTATTTACACGTGTCCTATTTATTTCACTTAAGAGTATCGCTTCAATGTGCATTCATTTAGCTATAAATGTCTCTAGTTTCTCATTCTTTTTTTTTTTTTTGGTACTGAGGATCGAACTTGGGTCCTTGCGCTTGTGAGGCAGGCGATGAAGCTACTGAGCTAAATCCCCAGCCCTAGCTTCTCATTCTTTATGGCTGAGTAGTACTCCATTTTATAAAAAAAACAAACAAACCTGCATTTTCTTTATCCAGTCACCAGTTGATGCACAATTGGGTTGTTTCCAAGATCTAGCTATTACAAACTTACAAAGCCTTTTAGCTTTTCCTTGCTGTCTCTGCTCTATGTCCAGCTCTTCTTCCCTGCTGACCAACAGTGCCCTGTCCTACCACATGATGCTTGACGGTGCACCCAGAGAGGCAAAGCTTTTTGAGACCTTTCTGTGACCTGCCACGCCAGAGACATTTCAGCAACTGGATGTGCCTGCTTACCCTGAAAGCTCTTGCTAGGCCACTCAACAGGGCTTCAGTAGGGCTGCTCTGGCTCTGCATCACCTTCCTCTTGACATTTTCTTTCCAGCTGCTGGCACAACTGCACAAGATCTAACTTGCACCATGAATCCCTTACCCGATTGGCTCTGCAGCCCTGATGAAAGCTGCTTGCAACATGTGGGATCTAGTAGGTAGAGAAGTCCTGCCATGGGAGAGGGGAAGAAAATGGTCAGGAATACTCCAGAATCATGACAACAGCAGGCAGGAGAGCTGCTAATAAGGAAGGAGAGAAAGGCAGTAGGACTCCAAGAAGAAAAAAAAACAAAATTCATAAGTGACTGAAGTTTGTGAAAAGTTCAGGGATGAATTAGTAGAGACAATGCAGTTGCTAGCTCCAGGAAAAACAACAGAAGTTCGTAAAAGGAGGTGTAATAACAATACATTGTTGCTGAGACATGAATAGTATGTATACTCACAATGATGTAAACAGTGATTATTTATTTTACCTTTTAAAAAGTGGTGTTGTAATCATACTGAGAGGAGGGCAGAAGGGTAGGAAAAGGTAAGTCTTCACCTGCATGAAAAGAAGTCAATAGAAAATATCTGAAAGTGGAAAATAAGACTTCAACATAGCATGTTGAGGTAAATCATAGAAAAAAGCAGAATAAAAAGAGGTTTCAGTGGTGGGGAAATCTGGTTGAGAGAATGAGGCAGGGGGTTTCTAGGCACTTTTATTTTTATTTACTCACAATCTTTGTGGAATAAATTTTTTAAAACTATATGTTTCATATAAATTAGAATTGAATGCTGAAAGATCTCAATATAAATTTAAAGATGCCTGTCAAACAAAAGATAACCATGAAAAAAGTTAAAAGGCAGATGATAGTCTGAGAAATTATATTAGCAAAACTTTTATCCAATATAGGGTTCTCCAAGGAAGTTGTTCAAGAAAAACATGGGGCTCAATAGAAAAGCAAGCCAAGGACAGAATGGGCCAACACACAAAGATTCCAATGGCCAATAGGCACCAACAAAAAGAGCTGGAAGACACCAAGCAGGTATGTGAGCCTGATGCCCTTCCTACACTACAGCCACATGAATGCCTGCAGAGTTCCAGCCAGGAGGCACAACAGTGCCATTGCTACTTCATCCAGGAGACAAACACCAAGAGGCTAGAAGACTTGCACAGGCACTCGCAGCCCAGAGGGGGCTAAAGTACTGACTCTCCAGTCACATTCTGCTCAAGTCCATTGTCAAAGAAATGCACGCGAAAATAGCCAAGTGACACCACTTTACAACTTACAATTTGGCAAAAATCAGGAAGCTGAGCAGAGGTTAGATTGGTACTGCCACTGCCAATAGCAATCTGTGAGGATCCCATAGTATGCAGTAACAAACAGTCCTAGGTTTAGCAAAGCCATCCCAGTGCATGTACTCTGAAGACACTACCCATAGCTTCATGGGGACAGTGGGAAGACACTGGCTATGATAAGGATGTTGTAGAAAATCACTGGAGAAGACTTAGATGGTATTCAACAATGAAGAAGGGATTTAGCTCAGTTGTGCCACGCCTGCCTTGCAAGCATAAAGGTCCTGAGTTTGATCCCCAGTACCAAAAAAAAAAAAAAAAAAATTTAAGAAGAGAGGAGACATGTTGGTCATGGGTCCCTATGGAGTCAGAAACTTTCCGGATTTTGAATAAATTTCAACACTTTCCTAATGAAAAAGTGCTTCATGACGCTGTGAAGGAAACAAGGGAATCAGACTGTGCACCAGTGCATAGCCATCAGTCACACATACATGACCACAACAGTGTGAAGACTACATTATGAACCCTACTAACTTATAAATCACCTCATAGTCAAGTGAGGGAGGAAAAATGTGGTTTTCTGGGGAGGCACAGAAGCTGTGACTATTCTTCTATGTAGGATGGTGATAGGTGATGCCTTGAGATGAGGAGGCCATGTTGTGGCTGGGAAATACAGTCAAAAGTGGCAGTGAGGACAGCCATAGATGGCTAGTTTGGCAGCAGCCTGGAGAACTGACTCTTCAAAACATGACCTCTGCCTACCAGGAGTCTATTGAAATGGGCTGAGAACTATTCTCATAAACATAGTGGCTACTCTGGAAAATTTCTCTGCCCCAAGAAGTTTTATGATCAGGATGGAAGGCTTGTTCTAAGAAGTACAAGCAGGGAAGCTAAGCCACCAAACAGCCACAGAAGATGGGGAGGGCAGTGACAGCAGTAGGAGGGAAGGTTACAGACTGGCTGAAGTACCTCACATGGCTCTCCCTAATCCCCACCCACTCACCCTCCACACTTATTCTGACCCCCATTAAAAGAACAGATTTCCTCCTAGGAAGGCCACCATGGCAAGAAGGCAGAGGACTGGGGACCAGCCTGAGTCAGCAGGGTGGCAAGGCCCATGTACTCCTGTGACCACATCCGCTGCTCTACTTGGTAGCTGTTGAAGGATGGGCCTGAAAGTGGGCCAGAGGTCATCCTTGGAGCAGGACAGACTCAGCAACCCTGAGGATTCTGGTCCATCCCTGGCAGAAAGGAAATGGGAAGGTGTTTCCTTGTTCCTCAAACACCTTTGAGTCTGGAGAAGACAACCTAGTATTTGGTCACGCCTGCCCTTGTGACATCATGGACATCTCTTCCACCTGTCCTGCCCCTGGCCAACTTAAAGAAGCAGCAAGTAGAGGGGGATGACCACTTTAGCACCTGTCCCCCTCCATAATGGGAAGACACTGCTGTGTAAGATGCCATGAGACTCTTCTGGGTGTGGGGAGATGTCCTACACAGAGGGAAGCCCTGGCTGATTCTATGGGACACAGGCAAGGTGTGGGGAGCGGATAATGTGGGGACTTTGTACAATAGCTGGGCCTCACCCATGACCCCTCCCCCCCATTTTGATTGCAGAGGTGTGATTCAGATATAGAACTACTAGAGAGACAAGAGAGAGAAAGAGAAAGGCAACAAAAGGTAGGCAGGACCAAGGAGCATAAAAGAATCAAAGGACTTAAGGTCCCTGAAAATGCAGGAGCCATCTCTGAACCCATTGGGGTTGGCTCAGCATTGCTCTACTTCTACCTAAATCCCCTCCCTCTCCTGAGTGAACTGTGCACAGGACACACAGCAGGTGAAGCCCATCACGGTGAGAAGTGGAAAGATAAATAAGGGTCGGCCTGGGTCTGTAGGGGTATGGAGTGACTAGAGGTAGGTACAGATGTCAATAGAGGTGAGAAGAGTGCCAGTGATTTAGCTCAGTGGTGCCTTGCCTGCCTTGCAAGTGTGAAGTCCTGAGTTAGATCTCCAGTACTGCAAAAAAAAAAAAAAATTAGAGGCAGGACCCCAGACAGGACATGTGAGTCCCAGTAGACATCCCACATGAGTTGTCAGGAGGTAGCATCCTAAGCTGGTTCAAGACTAAGGTGCAAGCATAAATGCAGACGATCCTTTGGCTCCTCACACCCATAGTGAGGAAGTTTCTGCTGGTTCTACAATCCTGAAAAGTCCACAAGTCTATGACAAGTCTACTTCATAGATGAGGACAGTGCAGCTCAATGAGCACATGTGGCTATAGCCATGAGCAGGATAAAAGTAGAGGGAAACCCCTTCTCAGCTCTCCTGGGTCCTCAGAACCAACAGGATAAGGACCAACTATTACAGAACTACCTGTGTCTGATGGTGGCAAATTTAATGGGGATCTTTTCCTTGCCTTATTAGTTGCTTCTTGCAAAATGTCACAAAAAAAGGGTTGAGGCAGCTAGGAAGATCCAGGCCTGGTGGCGTGGCAACCTGGTACGCCGGACTCTGCTGGTTGCTGCCCTCAGGGCCTGGATGATTCAGTGCTGGTGGAGAACAATCCTGCACAGACAGCACCAGAAGCTGCAGCAGTCCCTTCTGAGGATATATGTGATCCAAGAAGAATCAGTGGTCAAGCTCCAGTCCTGGGTTCGGATGTGGCAGTGTCGTCAATATTACTGCCAAATATGTGATGCTCTCTGTGTGTTCCAGCCCCCAAACAGGAGCCTTGTCACCCAGAACAAAGACACTTTGCAGGTACAATATGGAGTTGTTTCCAAGCAGCCAGAGTTCCACATTGAAATCTTATCAATCTAAAAGCCTGCAGCATGAAAGCCGCATTCCAGCACTTCAATAAATGTCTGACTAGATTTATGAGTCTCAGTGAATGCTACAGCTACAGGAATTCAGGTCCAACATCTCCAGTCCCACAGTGCCTATTACCCCTGCTTGGCCTGACCCTGCATCCAAACCAAGAAATTGTGGCTCAATGCTATCTTCATATATGCAGAGCCAGGTGTCTCCTTACATAACCCTGGTACTATCTTGACTTTCTGAACTTGGAATTGAAAGGAATTGGGCTTTGCTTTCCTGGAGTTTCTGGACATTACCTCATAAATCACCACAGCAACACTATTCATGTTAACCACTCTGGTCTCTGATTTTTGTTGTTATTGTTGCCCTTTATTCTCTAGGGCAGAGGTCAGAAAAGTATGGCCTGGAGCCAAATAGTTGCACGTATATGAATGAACATCAATCTAATATACCTACTATCTGGCCCTTTATAGAAAAAGTATGTCAACCCCTGACATAGAGACACTGACTCTTATGCACTGATCTAAATGTTTCTTCAGTTTGACCAGGACTTCTCAGAGACTAGCCTGGCTACTGTTTTACTGCTAACTCTGCAGTCATGCTTATCCCTTCTTTGGCATTCTCTTGCAATTACACCATCAACACCCCCTCCACTTTTGCATGACCCCCACCCTCTCCTCGCTTCATCTTTGCAGCAGATGAGTGGAAAAGTCATCCTTTATATGGTTTGGTTTTATATTCAAGACAACAAATTTCTCATAGACAAACTTTCTAAGACACCTCTCTTTTCAGTTTACCTTTTGACCTAAAGGTTTCATGTTCTTTCCTCCCTCTTCAAATCCACCTCTCCCTCCTCTCTCTCGTTTTTTTTTTTTTTATACCAAGGATCGAACTCTGGACCTTGTGCTTTCAAAGCATGCAGTTGAACCACTGAGCTAAATACCCAGCCCCCTCCTCTCCTTTTGACTTCAAACAATAGAGTCACCACACCTAACTGAGGAAACAGCAGCAGAATGGGCCCTGTTTTCCTCCATCTTATCCTTCACTCCCACATCCTACACTTGCTTCCTTCTTCCAGCAGAAATGAAATTTTTATCCTTATCCAAGGCCACCCCTTCCACTCTACTCCTTTTCTCTGGTTTATCTTTTGCCCACCAACCTCTCTTGCTTTTGCAAAGACTTAAATCTTAGAATCTCATTTATTTCTGTAAATCAGTTTCTGACTGAATGGCTGTCATTAAGAAATCAAATAGTAGGACACACATGTGTAAATACCAAATAGTTTCTTTGGTGTAAGAAACTGCAAGTGTAAATAAGAACTAAAAGTTATAATAGATAATGTGAAATAGGAAGAAAAGGTCCAAAGGGGAAGGGGAAGCGGGAGGAGATGAGGAAAGGAGAGAGGGGAATGGAATTAATATGAGAAAAGGAAAAAGTGAAAACAAAGTCTTTGTAAATAGGGAGGGGTGGAGGGGTTGAAGGGAGGGCAGGGGAGTGGGGAAAATAAGAACCAAGATCTATTATGTAAAGGTACAAATTTCCGATGATGAATGTCATTATACTGTATACCTAAAGTGTACCAATAAAATTAATAATAAAAAAAGAAATCCTAATCCTAAAGTCTCTCTCAGTCCCTCTTTCTGTTCACTCCCAGATGATATTAACCAATCACTTGATCTTTAAGATCTGCTGTATCCTGATGACACTCAAATCCCCATCTCCATCCCTAATAGCACCTCTGAATTCCAGGGCCCTTGGTGCAACTTTCCACTTGACAGTATTTTTGAGCTCTAATATTCAGCAATAATGGTCAGAAACAACACTTCTCATTCCCCACAAATTATTCTTCTCTCCAAAAACTTGCTTTTCCTTGTGTTTTGCCCATTCACCCAATCTGTTTAATTCAAATTCCTTTTTGAATCCTTTTCCACTATCTTCATCCATTTCTTCCCACATCAGTCCATCGGCAAATGTTGTGGGCTTCGTTCCTGCAATACAGTCCATATTCATTGATTTTTCTCCATCTCCATTGCTGCCTTCTTAGTACAAGCCTGCATCATCTCTTGTTTTGACAACTGTAGGTTCTTTTCCTTGCTTTAATTATTGCCTCGTTCATTTATTTATTCAGACCCAACATATACTAGTAGACAGAATAGCATAACCTCTCACTACACATCACACAGAGCCCAATAATTAATAACATGTGGTCAATCTTATTTCATCTGTACTTCTCACTCTATGTCCCCACTGGAATAAACATAGCAAATCCCACATCCCAAAATATTTCATTTCATCATAAATACTGGAGTACATGTATTGAATAATTAAGAATTTAAAGGCACATAACCACCTACTCAAATACACCAAAGTGATTTTTTATAAAGGTGCAAAATCAATTCAATGGAGAAAAGATAGCTTTTTCAACAAGAAGTGCTAAAGTAATCTGACATCCAGAGACATAAAGAAAAAAACACCTTTGACCTAAGTCTCACTCTGAATACAACAGTTAACTCAAAATAGATCATAGACATTTATGCCCAAGAACACTATAAAAGCTTTAGAGAAAACATGAGAAAATCTTCAGGATTTCAAGTAGATACAAAAATCTCAAGTTTAACATTAAAATTATGATCCATAAAAGGAAAGATTGACAAATTGGACTTCATCAAAATTTTGAGACTTTTGCTGTATGAAAGATGCTGTGGAGGGGATGAAAAAACAAACTGCAAAATGGGGTGGGGGTGTACTTGTGAACCATGAATCTGACAAAGAAATAGTATCTAGAATACATAAAGAATTCTCAAAATTGAACAGTAAAAACCAATTTAAAATGGGCAAAAAGTTAAAAATTTTTCATTGACGAGGATGTGCACATGACATATAAGCATATCATGTTTAACATCATTAGCTACTAGGAAAACTAAACCCACAATGAGATTTTACTTTATACCTATCAGAATGGTTAAAATAAAAAATAGTGGCAGCACCAGTGCTGGTAAGAATGAAAGCCAGGTGTGGTGGCACACACCTGTACTCCCAGCACTTGGGAGGTTGAGGCTGGATTGGTGTGAGAGTGAGGCTAACTGGACTACACAGTGAGCTCAAGGCCAGCCTGAACTACATTGTGAGACCCTATCTCAAAAGAGAAAAGAAAAAAGAATGCAGACAAACTGAATCTCTCATGCATTGCTGATGGGTGCAGCTACTGTGCAAAAGGTTTCTCGAAAAGTTAGTTAATAGCTAAACTGTATGTGTATGTTAAGAACTGAATATCCCATCATCCTATTATTTGTATAATTGAGTTCTCAGATTTGTAAGTTTTTATACAGTCTTTCATTTCATTTAATTGAATAAAAATTTAATTAAATGGGAAAAAAAGTTAAATAAATACGGAATTACCATATGGTCCAGCAATTCTACTCCTAAGCATATACCCAAAGGAATTGAAACAAATATTCAAATTCAAAAAAGCTTGTACAAAAATGTTCATACATGCATTATTCATAATAATGATATTATGAAATATATATTTGGTCTTCACCCACACTTCCTGAAATACAAATTCTAAGATCCTTGGCATCTGCAAAGTGATGTGTCTTTTTATATGCGGAGCTGACTCCTGGATAGCCTCAGAATGGTTGGTTGCCAGGGGAACCGTCCTTGTGATTAGATATTGCTTCTAAGTGATTAAACCAACATCACAATCATAGCTTGGGTCCCTGTCCCATTTTGGTTTTTTTTAATTGATTTAATTTTGTGCTTTAATTACATAATACACATAGTTCTTAGTCTAAAAATTGCAAGAAGCCAGGCATGGTGGTGCTTGCCTGAAATCTCAGTACTCAGAGAGGCTAAAGTAGGAGGATCACAAGTTTGAATCCAGCCTGGGCAACTTAGAGACTTAGTAAGACCCTGTATCAAAATAAAAAGAAAAATTAAAAAGGGATGAGGGTGGAGCTCAGTGCAAAGACCCTGGCATCAATCTCCAGCACTCTCCCTCCAAAAAACTTCAAGAAAAGGTCCCCACTCTCCCCACTGATAACCTCCCATGTGTTAATCCATTAGACACACACACACACACACACACACACACACACACACACACACAGAGGGATTTTTTAGGTTAAAAGTACGTGCTATGTATACTTCTGTACCTTGATTGTTTTCACATATTAAATGGACTTGAAGTCCCCTTAATAGCCGTATGTTTTCCTCTCTACAGCTGAGTGTGGTCCTCCACCTGGTGGATGGACAACTGTTTATTTACCAGCCATCTCCTGACATTTGGGTGTTTAACAGTCTTTTGATATTACAAATAGTAATGCAATGAAAATCTCGGTGCATATATTATATTGTAGTTTTTGCCACTGAATCTAGGATAGATTCCTGGCAGTGAGATTCTGAGCAAAGGTTAAGTGTGCAGGTATTTTTGCTAGATACTGCCAATTTCCCTTCCACAGAGATTGTATTATTTCCCTTCTTAACAGTAATGAATAAGAAGGCCTACTGGCCCAGAACTCACCCACTTATCCAAGAAAGAAAAGTGTTAACTTTTTATCAGAATGATTTTAAAAAATAGTTATATTATCATCAAGGACCAATAAACCTATTTCAACAGTTTTTAAATGACAAATTTGTTTCATATAGACCCTTCTTTCAATATACTACCAAAACTGCCACTTGATTTTTAATTTTTGATGCTGGGGATTGAACTCATGCTAGGAAAGAAAGCTAAACCACTGAGCTGCATCTCCAGCCCTTCTAACTTGGTGAGACAGGTTCTTAATAAGCTGCCCAGTCTGGCCTTGAACTTGAGATCTTCCTGCAGCAGCCTCCCAAGTAGCTGAGATTACAGCACACCTGGGACCACTTGATTATTTTGAAGCAAATAACAGACAAAAAATTTCATCCCAAACCACAATCCACTATAACAAAAGTTAATTATGTCTTAATGTTAATAAACATCCATTGAGTTGCAATATCTCCACTTGTTTCTTGACTTCTTAGTGTTTTTCAATCAGGATCCCCCCAAAAAATCTATTTGTTGTGATTTGTTGGTATATTGCATAAGTCTCTTAATCAATAGGTTCCTCTCTCTCTCTCTCTCTCTCTTTCTCTCTCTCCCTTTTGCTTCTTTGAAATCTAGTAGTTTAATGAATAGATCAGGGGATTTGGCCTGTACAGATGCTCATGGTCTAGACCTTGCTAGTTGCATATCTGTGGCATCATTTAATACATTTCTGTGTTTCATTTATTTGCTTTAAATTGATAATGGGATCTAAAGTGCTAATCACACATCGGTTTGAAT